GTGAGTGCTGAGGCGTCAAAGATGCATCAACAAGGGTACCTCAAGCCCATGACCTGCTATGACATCTAGCACTCTCAAAGGTCTCCAAGTAGTGTGTGCCCTGGGGCTTTGCACAGAGAGACGCTTGAAGTACAGCCTCACTTACCACAATTAACTTGTCTTAATCTCCCATTACTTCCTCCAATCATTCAGTATTGCAGGATTTTCATTTATCATGTTTTCTCTTATCCTTTATTTTTGCTCAAATACTTCGCTATTCTCTTGTTCTTACTAATTCCCAAAACTTTCCTGTACTTTTTCTTCCTACTATTTGCAATTCCAAAATGTCTGTACTCCACTGAAAACTCACTGACAGTCAGACATAGGAGCTCAACCTAATATATGACATTGTGCACAAAAGAGTCTGAGCCTTAAACGAGCCTAGAAAAACTGGGGGAAAATACAACCTCTTCACTACCTCTTGCCTTCAGGAGAGGTTAACCTTCCAACCATGACTTCCAAGGAGACACAGAGCTATTCTTTACTTGCATGAATCACCTGACCACTGGATTTGCTAGTGAAATAAAGGTGTAATATTTCTTCTTGTCTGTTCATGCAGATTCTCGAGTGCTTGGTCATAGAGTCCTCCTATTTCTAACATTTCAGGACTTGTCAAGGTAGCAAATTGTTCTGAGAGGGAATTCTATTACACTATTTATAATATCCTCTGGATATACTAAAAAGAACCCAAGTATTGGGGGTAGTATCTCCCCTCCCATCTTGATGACTGGCATAATAGCTGGGTGTAAAGCTGACACAGAGTTAAAAAATTCAAACTCCTTTAGAAGAGGAGCCTTCTCAGGAGAGCTCACTCCAAGAACAAGTCATTGCATAACTGTCGAATGGAATAGTAATAATTCCTCGTGGCTGGGAATTCAGGGATTTCTTACAACAGTATAAGGAAGCAAGGAAGCTGTGGATTTCTCAGGGCATCATGCCAAATACGGCACCTCTTACAGAATAATTCAAATGCCTTCGAGATCAGACAACGCTTCCTTGCACTGGTTTTGGACCAATGAACGGGGGGAGCCCCATTTAGAAGGTGTAATACATAGAACAAGTGCTTCAATGCACAGCAAGAGAGATGTGACAGGAGAGCATGAAGCTCTTAACTATACTCCCAGATAAAACAATAATTTTCAGGGGAGAATGGGGAGTGCACACACCATAAACTACATTCTAGTCCCAGAAGAACTGGTGTTTATAGAGAGCACAACCAGACCGTGGCTGTCTTCCGCAGATGCCTTCATGGATTACAGCAATGGAAAACTTGAAGTCACAGGACCTAATGCAACAGCACATATCTTTGCAACGTACCCTGCTCCATATCTAACCCTCATAAATGGATTTGCAGATCAGGTAAGTACACTTGTTATCTAGATTGCACAAATAAAACATACTGAAAACTATAAAACCACGCTACAAAAATACATATATATTTAACAACTATGATGAATCTTACCACTTTGGTCATGTATCACTATGTATAATAGCAATGAAAATGTAATGCTGTATGCAGAGATTACATTTTTATCATATTATGCAAGCAAGACAATTTCAAGTTGTTCTCTCTACATTCATCATGTTAATTGTTGTAGTAACCACACACTTTTAATTCTAAATGTGTGGCAGACTTTTCCCAGCATAAAGCAATGTTTCTCCCTTAACTCAGCAGAGTAACACCATTTACATCAAGATCTAGACCATTTTGCGGACCAATCATTCCTTAAATGGTACCTAAACAGCCAGTTTAACACACTGCACAACTGAGTTTTTCACTATCATAAGCCTCCTCTTTGAAAATGAAGTTGTGATGCTTGTTATTTTTCCAGTGACTGAGAGAACTTGAAAAAATCTCCATCTTATTTCCATTATTTATTCTGCACTTGTGTTTATCCAACAGTGAAAAATGAACTTTCATATCTCCTGTTTACTTCTAATCAGTTACCTGCCTTCTTCAGGCATATATGAAATAAATAGTGCATAAGTGAGCTCTGAAAAACTAGGGCTTCTTGGAGCACAAGAATTCCTTACACAAAGGACTTGAAAACCATGAAATTTGGCTTAAAAAAGGCATTTTTGTTTTTTTAATGAAAAACAGGTCTGAATTTTGTTTTAGATCAATCATAAGGCTTTGCCTTTCATAAGATCATTTTGTACAAGTATATTATAATACAGTTTTTTAAAAGTCATTTTAAAGAAACCAAAATACACATACATATACACATATACAGTTTCTTTAAAATCAGTGTGGAAATTGAATGTTTTGACACTGCTGATTTTTTCCCTAATTTTCTCCTTAGTTAATTATTAATAAGATTGTTAACATTTGCAAAGCATTTGAATTAGAGAAAAACTTCCATCAGAAAATCATTCCAAGAATATTTCCCTCAACAACTCTGTAAACATATACAGAAGTCAAATTACAATTATACATACAAACTTAGTTTAGGTACTCCTGATTTTTAAGCTAATCGTTTTTGCACATATAGATTTAACTGCTTGTCCTTGTGATATGCGCTACCTTGGTAAGATTATGAATATTTATTCTCATAATCTATTAGAATAAGTTTAGTCACATAAAACAACTTTATATCAATGTAACTGCTTGAATTGTCATAGCAGAACTATTGAATATCAAACAAATTAAATTGTTAAGCTGTCGGGAAAAAGTGTGGAAACAAAGCTCCACTCTGAAGTTAACTGGAGTGAAATCCTGCACTCTTTGACTCTGGGTGTTGCAGTGTTTTTCTTGAAGATTTCTTGTCCTTTTCTCAGAACTTCTCATTACTGTGAACTAGAGAGATACTGCGATACAAAGTTTGCTATTCTGAACTGTGGGATAAATCTAAATACCAACATAAGCCACCACAGTTCATGGAGATGCCATGGCCCCTCTTTTCATTATTAGAAGGAATCTGCACATACTTATTCAACATTCTTTTCTTTGCATTGTCCAGGTGATGTCAACAGCTGTTCTTCTTCTGGCTATATTTGCTATTTTTGACACGAAAAACAAAGCAGTACCAAAGGGCCTGGAGCCAATTGCAGTAGGACTCCTGATCATTGTACTTACATGCTCCTTGGGAATGAACAGTGGCTGCGCCATGAACCCAGCCAGGGATCTAGGCCCGAGGCTCTTCACAGCTGTGGCAGGATGGGGAATGGAAGTATTCACGTAAGTAAGCCTGGATATGAAGTGAAATGCCCTTGGCTAAAATTGATTCCTAGGAAAGTTAGATCCTAATTCAAAATGGTACCAATTCATACTTTATATACATATAGGCATATAGGTAATTCTTTACATACCAGGAAAAGCTATTTGTGCACTTTAAGTCAGGTGTGCTCTAGGAACCAGGCTTTAAAAAGGATTTCCTGCTCCTAGGGCAAATCAAACACACATTATCTCTAGTATCAATCATTGTTTCAAGCAGACCCTTCCCAAAATATTAGAGGTTCTTAGAGGTCACTGAAAATATAGAAGTGTTTTCTTCTCTCATACTGCAGGTTTCAAAAAAATAAAAGAAATTGTGAGGTAGTTAGGCGGGAATATTTATTGGGTGCTCTAAAAAACACAGACACATCAGATTGATTCAGCTTATTACTACTGCTGAGTTATTGCAGAAATCTACAACCATCTAAAGCCCGACTTCCTGCCTGGAGAGAGTTGAGGGAATGAGCGAAAGCCTCCTTCATTTTCTCACATTTCAGACCACACTTCCTAATCCCTGTGCATACGTACGCACGTACACGCTCTCTTGGCGGGCCTGATGCACAGCTCATTAGTTGCACATCACATCCACAGCTTACACATATCCAGTGTAAGAACCACTTTGGGATACCTAAGCAACACTAATCTGTCATCAGGAGGTAGATCTCCTGGTTTATTTTTATACAAATTGCTTTTCCAGTTATTTACAAGTAGGAATCCCCAGAAGTACTATAGACTGCTAGACAGCTCCAGTTAATAGATCTCATTTTAGCTACTTTGTTAAACACAAATAATGTGTATTTATTTAGGATGCTTTCCATCTACACAAAACAGGAGCTTTTGCAGAAGAAAACAGTAGAAGTTTCTTGTTCAAACTAAGAAACTAGGCACAGAGAGCAGAAGAAATGGGCCCCAAGGCAGACCGTAGCCCATATACGAAGCCAGGGCTCTAACACCATCTCAGTGAGACCCAGTTGAGAGGTCCACCCCCTAGCCCGTTATCTCCCAACCTTTCCTGCTGCTCCGCTCCAACCACCATGCCATTCAACCACACTACTGCTTAAACTGCAGTGCACAGTGCGACAACGCATACTTAGGATTCTTCTCTCTCACACCCATTTAATCATAGTCATTTGCTACAGCATTAATTATAATGCTGTATGTTTTAATGTCACATACATTACAAAGTTGGCTATAATGTTCCCTACAACTTTGGAAGCCTGGCTCTATAACCATGGTCTAGCCACAGAATAACTGGCATTTCCATTCCTTTCAGAAGACAGTCATATTCATCTACCCTTTAAAAATTACAAGAAAACTCTATTTCTATACCAATATGGGCCCTTCCTAATTTAGTTTCAGGATTTATACACAGAGGGGAAATAAAAACCCACTGTAAAGCCCATACTAAGTCACTTAAATGTGAGAACATAAAAAGTAAGATACGAGATCTCTGGCCATCACCAGAATAAAGCCACTGCAGACTTGGGGATGTATAAACTGAAGAAGGAATCTTCCACTCTGCCCTCATACACAGTGCCACAGCTACAGCCAACTTCAAAGGAATGGATATGGCAGGATACTGTATGGTGCAGACCCAGGGACGGCTCTGTTAGACAGCCTGAAACCTTGGATCAGTTACAGGCAAGGGGAAAAGGCTGCACAGCTGCAGCTGAGTGTTGCACCTCTTGGCCCTTGCTCAGAAGCAGCTCGGACTGCAGTTAAATGTGCATGGAGATTGAAGATAAGCATTGGGGGTTTCAACTGCTTAAACTTTCTAGTAAAAGGCATGGGCAGGAATTGGGACCTAAGCGTGGACCCTCCTCAGCAACTCAGTGCTGCCAGGCAGAGCAGGAAATACAGAAAAGACATTAAGCAAGCATTGGAGTGAGGACGGGAAGCACCTCTGGGAGCTGCCCAGTGATTCTGCTCTGCTCAATGCCTGGCAGGGACTGGGAAAGCTTCACTTCAGGATACTCTCTGTATTGCTCTGTGCACCCAAAACATGTAAGATCTGCTTAGTATAGAAGGATGAGACTTTTTAACTTACTCATCCTAAGCAACTGCTTTAACCACAGAAATACTCAGTTCAGAGGAGCAAATCCCTTTCTCTACCTCTTCTTCATGCTTGCAGGCCCTGCAAGATCTGATTTTACCATGTTCTCAGGCAGGAGCTGCCAGCTGGCTGGAGGGGAGTTCTACAACTAGCCCATGGAGTCACCCCGAGGCCCGGGAGGGAACTGAGCAGTGGTTTGCTCAATGCTGACGTTATTACATGTTGCTCAAGGACACCTGAAGGAGCAGTTTCCCTGGGAATCTAGCCCAGGGAGAGACAGACTAGAGCGTGATTTCCTGAGCCACTGCAATGAGATTCATTTTGGCTAAGGCTCCTGTTTAAAATTGTTTACCCATTACAGTTGAAAGAGGAGTTGTCTCTCTAGCACCTGCTGTATATCCCTGTTCTGCACACGATATATTTTAGTCCATGCTGAGGCTGGCTCCTACAAACTGCTTCTTGAGGAGCTGGGAAAAGGTGTTGCTGAAGGCAGTGGTCCCCATCATTACAGACAGTTGCAGCCTTCTGAGATGTAAAGGTTTCTAATATTTTGTGCTGTAACCATGGAGATAACCAGAGGTCTCTCTTAATAATAATATCTTAATATGCTTAAAGAAAATTTAAGGAAAATTTGGTCTTACACAATTTTGGCTGTAATGAGAGAACAGCCAGAGCATCAGGTACAAACACCAGGATGGGGATCTGACAAGACGAAAATCAGCGTGGCGGTGAGAAAGCCGCGCGTGTCCGCAGCGCGCGGCGGGACTCGCGGCAGCCGCCCTGGTTACCACACGCTCCTCGGGCTGGCGCGAGGCCTGCCGCAGCCAGGTAGCCCCTGGGGCGTTCTGCGCGCCTCCCAAGCGGTCACACAGCTCCCCACACTGCCTGCATTTCCAAATGCCTCAATTATACTGTAATCTCACCATTTCACAGCTGTTGACTAGTTGGGAAATGAATTTGAAACTCTGTAACAGGCCCATTTCCAGCCCACGTACTTTACATGCTATAGTTGGAGCTGAATTTTCCTGGACGTTTCTGGAGTTCTCGGGGTGCCTGGCAATGCCCCTGTGTGTGGTTTAACCCAAAGAGAGGGGCTGCCATCCCTTTGCTTCTTGTAGCGAGCAGAGCCAAGAGCATCAGTGGTGGGCCAGGAAAAACATGTGACAGTGACAAGGCCAGAGCGCCAGGCCCTTTCCTGCTCCGTGGTAGCAGAGCCGCAAGCCAAGGGCAAGAGAAGGCAGCAGACTGCGACGAAGCTGCCTGGCTCGTCCCGAAGTGTGTTCGCTCCTGTTCAGGGAAGGAGGACAGAGTGAGGGAAGCATTCAGCCTGTCCAGATCTCAGTGAAGCCCTGGCATCACCCTCTGCAATGGCTTTTTGCTGCCCGTTGTGGCAGGGAATGTGCAAAACGCAGCTGGCAGCAGCTGCACAAGCATGAGCCAGGATTTGGAGGTCAAGCAGGAGCCAGCAAAGCCCAGGTCACATGAGGGAACAAGCTGAGAGAAACCTGCCCAGAAACACCTTCCTCATGTGCCACACATAGGAGAACACATGCGAATAGCCAGTGCAGACTTGACAGAATAAAACCTGGTCCACACATATTCTAGAAGTGCAGGGGCCCAACAGACCTTCCTGACTGACAAACCAACAGATCTATAAATTTAGTAGAAAACTATCAGGGGCTATTTTTATACCCTCCTGGCAAAATCTACATAATTTCAAATCTTTCCCCAAATCTTTCCCCAAAAGGGAAAAAAAAAAAGGCATTTTTGAAGAAAGGAATAAAATTATCACTAATAGGGCACTGTGAAGGTAGCAATATTCTTTTCTTGTGCTGGGACTTAAACAGAAGTTCACTGCTGCATAAATATATCCTTCTGAATGCTGAGTAATTATCCATATGGTATAAAAATTTTTCTATTGTTTCATGCCCACCCCAACTTCCTGTTAAGCTCCTCTCTCAGATGAATTTGTCTTTTGTATTTGTGGGAGAAAAATTGATGTTACTTCTCCATTTTCAATATGCATGAAATTGAGGTGGCTGGGTTTTTGCTGGAGACTCACATATTCAATTAATACAGCATGTTATCAAATCAAAACACCTGCATGGACCAACACAGTTAAGAGAGTCAGTGCTCTGACATCCATGCTCAGCAGTTTTCTGGCATATCTGAATATAAATGTCCAGAAAAGGGAGAGCAACCGTTATATACTGGTTTTATAATTCCTAAGTAGCAAATTATGACCCAAGTAGCAAATAATGATTTTTTATTTCTTTTTCTTACAGGGCTGGAAATAATTGGTGGTGGGTCCCGATAGTGGCACCTATGCTGGGGGGAGTACTTGGAGCTGTTACCTACGTAGTTTTTATTGAAATTCATCATGCAGATACAGAGCCAGGAGAAGAAAATGACTTACGTGATAAATATGAACTTACTAGTATGGATTAGAAAAGTGAACAATTTGTTTCTTTCATACTGTTTTTAGTCAAATGATTGTTTGGACCATTTTATAAAAATTGTATGCCTCAATTAGAAATACACCTTTCATAGCAGAAAATCTTTATAGGAAACAAGTTAAAAACTAACCTCTTTCATGAAACAGCAGCCTGATCACATTCAAAACTGGAATTAAGTTACTGTTTTCAGGTGAATAAATTGTTCCATCACATCAGGTTGTCACCTAGATGAAACTGCAATGAGATGGTATGAAGACCTGTCATTCAACATAGATGATCTAAATCATGTTGGCTAATTAACTCAAAATGGATGAGATATTGTAACTCAATCTGCATACATAGATAATTAGTACACTGCTGAATTGAAGTGTAAGAGACCTCTTACTTGTTATAACCGTTACTTAAAAATGCTCATACTTTAAAAAAAAAAAAAGCCTGAATTGCTGAAATATCAATGGAAGTAGCTTTAACTAACATAGTAACTATTTATCTAGCCACTGACTGAGCAGTGAGGAGACAACTCATCAGTGATGAGATTTAGTAATTCAGAATGTGATCACAAAAGGTAAACTCTGTGCTATGAGATCAATAACAAGAAGACAGAGCTGTACTTCCCTGGTTCTTTAGAGCAATGATGTTCAATTATTTTTAAACTGTTTACTTGACCTTTACATAACCTAATATTAAAACCCTAACCCAGAATATTAACCCAAACCTCTCCTGCTGTGCTTTCCGGATAAAATTCATTCCTGTGGAGATGGGCCAGCAACAGACGCTTATGCTGTGCCGAGGTCAGCAAAAGGCCTATGGCTGTATAAGCTTTTAAGAGGCCTTTTGCTGCTGATCTACACAAGGGAGAATTTCATCTGCTCTGTGGGAGCAATTTTTATTTTGGTAGCACTAATTAAAATTAGAAGCAGGTCTCAGACCTAGGCCCATATCTGAATTCCCCAAGGAAGCCAGTCTGAAGCACGGCTCCTCTAGCACTAAGCAGAAGTGGCTGGATATACGCCACTTCCTCAACATTCAACTGATGCTATTTCAGGGTTATAGCCAAGTTTCAACTCTGAAAAATGAAATTACTTCTGGTTAATCACTGTATGCAGTTAATTCAAAGTTATTATATATATATATATATGCATACATATATTGTTGGTGACAATCATAAATAAATAGACATCATATTCAATCATCCTCTCAAGCTATTTTCATAGCAAAACCTCAAGGCATCAGTTCAGCAGACTCCTTGCAGGGTTCCACTCCCTCTGGATTTCTTCAGCCCTGCTCCCTTGAATTCCACACTGTTTTCTAATTCTCCGTGAAGGGAGGAACTCTTTCCTTGGCCAGTCATGGCCTGTGCACTTCAGTGAGGTCTTGACCTCATCAGAAGTGGTTTTGAAAATAATATGGTCAGAATCTGCCTCAGCATTTATGTCGATAGGTCCCTGTCTGCACACGCCTTCATCGCCCTCCCACGTGCACCACAGCAAACGCAGGGCAGCAAGGGACAGACTCATGGGTTGCTGCAGCTGTGGTCAGATGCTGCTGCTGATATATACTTCATAAGTGCTATACTTCAGAAACACAGTTCTGATTTTAATTACACTTTTGAATAAAACCCACAGAACTGTAGGCTACCCAGTGTTCATGTAAAGCCTTGCAAAATGCCAGTTTGATTCACTGTCTCTCTGCTGTAGGTTAAAAGTGATATAGCCGTACCCAGCTTTACCCATGCACGTTTGGCTGCATCATGTCACTGCGAGGGCCTCAGGGGCACGAGCCGGGCAGGAAGGGCCCGAGCACGGCCCCCTGCTCTGGCAGGCATGTGGCTTTTCCTGAAGCCACTGCTTGGCATAAAGAGTCTGTGCAGGGAATAAAATTAACCAGAGAGCCAGGTAACCAGATGTAATGGATTTTACTCAAAATGGTTACAAATGGTGGAAACATTTATTGTACTAAAACTTTGCATTGCAGTAGGCTTTATAGACCTCACTATCACATTTTAATATGCCATGGACAGCCTGGGGAAAAGCAGAATACAGGTAGGGCTGTGAAAGGGACAGTTTGTTTATACAGCACAGGCGGCAATGAGCCCACGCTCACCGTGGGTCTTCGTGCATTGGCTGAGATGTATAAAGTGCTTCCGCTACACTTCCTCAAAAGCCTTCAGACTGCAACAGGTTCTCCTGGTATATCAGCATAAAATCTCCCCTCTCCTTTTTTTACTTCATTCCTATTCACTGGATTACCGTATAAATCCTATCTACTTGTCTGAAATATCAGTATAAAAATCATAAGCAGTGATACACTGGTGGGATATCTCAGCCATATTTGAAATATGCTCTCAGCAAGCTGTTGTCAATTCTGTATTTGCTTAAAAACCTTATTTTTAAACTTCAATTAATCATTTAATATGTTTGTAAATTATTAGAAAAATGCATGGCAATAATAATTCATTCTGACTTCACTGAAGCCAGAATTTCATTCAGGGAGAAGGTATTATACAGTTCAGCCTGAGATATGATTTCATTTATAGTCATAAGAATAAATTCCTGTTTTAGGGGCAAAACTCATCTGAGTCTTAACTACAGGGCCATGACCAATATCTCCTTAACACAATGGGAACAATAATAGTCCCCTCCTGCCTTAAGCTTCAGCAGACATCAAGATCTGTTTTGTGCAAAACAAAAGGGTATTTTTAATTTGCATAAACTATGCAGTCTTTTAATGTCAACTGATATTCAGTGGCCGCATTCATATTGAATTAATATAATACAGTTGGCAACAAGAAAAAGCTTTTCCAGTTGTAAGATGTTCTGGCTAATGAATTAATAGTAATCAGGCTTGATCATATTAATATGAAAAATAATTTTTAGAGCATTGCTCAACTTTCATTTGGGTTTGTTTTACTTTTTACTGTTCTTTTTTTATCCTCTTTTTGGAAAATGTGTGTGTTTGCTAAAGCTAAACTGGTAGTGTAGTATTTTGGAGAGTGATGCTGCTGCGGTTAAGGGTTGGCTACTGCATGTTGTTTCTTAGAAGTGCAATTACTCACATTAGGAGGCAATACAGGCAGGGTGTTTAGAAGAACATGATCTCAGTAGAGTAGAAATTGTATTTTCTTGTAGTTTTTACTGTGGATTTGGATGAACTAGTTGTAGTTCAAAATAAATATATTCAATCCCTAATAAACGCATTCCAGTACCGCTTTTTATTCTTATAAAAAACCCCACCCTCTGGCATCTAAAGACGTACTAAGAAATAAATAGCTGCCTATTATGACCTACAAATGTTTATAGCACCGTGCTGCAGGAAGGCACTAACAAGCTGCACTGCCAGAGGGCAGCCCCGGGGCAGGCGACGCGGGCAGTGACAGGCACCCGCCCGAGCGAGGGCCGTGGTGGGGCTGTGAGGCGCCCGTGCAGCATGGGCCAGGACAGCCCTTGCCCAGGCCTCCGTCCTTCCTGCACCCGGGTTTCTGTCCCTCCCTGGCCCAGGCATCCATCCATCCTGCACCCGGGTCTCTGTCCATCCCGCACCCGGGTCTCTGTCCATCCCTCGCCTGGGCCTCCGTCCATTCCTCGCCTGGGGCAGCCTCTTACACTAGCTTTTCTGCAGGCTTAAACCGCAGCCACAACCAGAAGGGACGCTCTGTGCAAGTCCCACTTCAGCAATGGCTTTGAGGGCATCCTATAGTGCATCGGAATTTGTCCCATGGTGCTTACAAAATGTCCCCGGTTAATTTATCTATCTTCTGCTCCATTGAAGATAACAGATTTGAACTGGGAGCACACTTTGCTCACCTAGTTTAAAGAACACATGGAAAGCAGGCAGGAGGGAGAGCGGAAGATAAAGAGCCTCAAATTTACTGAAAAAGAAAATAAGTTTGAAGTGAGGGAGCCACTTTCCCCCCATGGCCCTTACCTCCCCAGCAGCCCTCCTGCTTCTAGACGCTCTGCTCTCTTTCTCCAGCCAACGCCATGTTCTGTGCTGTCTCTATACAGCACGATACATCTCCAGAGATTTAAATTCAGCATGTTTTTTTCAGTTACTTATGAATGTGAGAAAGTTCTCATGAGAGCAAGCACAAGTTTCACCTCACACGCTTGTTTTTTGGCAGTTGCTTGCATTTTTTCCACACTGTTCCCACCAAACAACCTTGCACTGGAAAACACAACAATTAACTGTAACTTCCAGTAACAGCTGCTCTCTCCCTGTTTAGCACGATTGTTACTGCACAACGGATTACTTGTTTCAAATCTGTGCAGTTTTTAAAGCCTTCCTTTTTCTTTCTTTCTTTCCTCGTTATTAAAATATAACACAAGATCATCCAGGAAAACTACTCTATGCACATTCACTAGTAGTTCAGATTTTTTAATCTTCTTTTTTCTTCCTACAGCTTGTTAAAAAAAGTGTTTACACTTCTCATACTCTGATGGTTAATGTTTCTGTTTATTTGCACAATCTAATGACACAGCACCAAAGGGGAAAATAGAAGGCATGTATTTTTAGACATTGGTGTTTCTTTGTGTTGAATCAAATATTAAAGAAACCTATACAGTATGACGCTAGACAGTAAATGGTTATGCAGGTTTTCCCCCTTTCATGACCCCAAACTCTTTCAAGGGTCTCAAAGGCCCAAGCGAGGATGTCAGCGGTGACTGAGCTCCCTGGACCCCTGAGCCAGGCAGCGCCTTCCCCGTGCAGGGGACCCACCTGGTCTCCTGGTGGACCTGCCTAGGGGATAAGGCTTTATTAGAAATCAAGCTTTCTTTCACACTCCAGATTTCACTGCAGCCATCCAGAAATCATGACCAAGGACGCAGCGACACACTGCATGGCAACATGGGGCTGACAGAGAAGAGAGGAAACTTCAAAGGCTGGCAAAACAAAGCAACAGGGCCAGCCCGAGGCGGGGGTCAGTGTTCAGAAAACAGCCTGCACCGGGCTGGGGAACACTGACACACACACTCAGCGGGATGAAGCAACACGATCAGAGGATTATCCTTCTGCTCACCCACCAGAAAACCCACATGTGCCTTAGATGCAAATTCGGACATTCTCGGTATCACGAGGAGCACCAGCTTGGCCTCATTAACACCAGCATTGCCACAGCTGTGGGCATGTGGTAGCGAACAGGTGAGGAAAACTTTCACCCTCAGGAACAGCTGCGTTCTGCTCTATGCACAGTTCTTCTGGGCAAACCCTCCTGCCTCCCAGCTGCTAACAGGGCACCCAGACAGAAGGAAAGGAGCAATTGCACCTGGAATTCAACAGATGCAACACTTTCTATAGTGTGACCAGGCATCAGATAACAAACATGAAGCCAGAGCAGCCGCACATGCTTGGCAGCAAACATTGCTAATTTAAACAGTTGGGTGTTTTGTCAATGCCTTTTAAGAAGATTGAAAAAATAAACTGTATTTAATAACAAAAGGCTAAACCACAGTGATGTTTTCCATAGCTAAGGAACAAAATCTGTGTATTCTAACATTTTCAGAGCAATGAAACAAAGTAAGCAAAAAAAGAATAAAAATCTCAGTGGGAGAGGAAGGACAAAGCACAACAGCAACTTTTCCTGAATAAATTTCTAGGTCTGTGAACCCTGCTCCTACCCTTCACAAAAGACAGTAAGGGCCTTCCCATTAAAACTGCAGCACACCAAAACCAGAATCATTGCATCTTCATTCATGAACAGTTTGGGTGTTGTTCTCTCACATCTTCAGAATATTGCAAACTGATGGCTATGCACAGCAGTGAACTTCTTTTATATACTCATCCTGACTTCTAAAGAAAAAAGCATCTAAGGAAGAATGCACATTTCACTTCAGTGCTGCAAGAATTTATTTTCATACACGTGTAAATGCCCAGCGGACTTGGGCTTTTCAGGGTATAGAAAAAACACAGGTTTTGAAGATGGTGGCACTGAAGAGCAGCACACAAGGGACATCAGTCCTGCTGCCAGCCTCCTGGGCAGTGCCAGCTTTGGAGGAGCAAAGCTAGGGCAGATCCAAGCCTTGCAGACCCAGGCCTAGGGCAGACCCAAGCCTCGACACACAGTCCTGGCACTTGCAGGTGCTTCGCAGGTGCCTGGAGAGGCACTCCAAAGGCAGAAGCCATTTGCACACCCAACGTACGTGCAGACAACACCAGCACACTGAAGGCTTCTGATGCAAGAAAGCAACAATGTGATGTCTGAACAAAATATGAATATGGACACACCCATTTCAATCTGCTCTGTCACAAAAAAACCCCAAAAAGTCACAGAGTAGAGCCATGAGAAATCCCATTTTCTATCATGGTTCTTTGAATTGATAATGAACAGTGCAGCTATCAAAAATTCTTACCAAACTACCAAAAATTCTTACCTTGCCAGCAAGCAGATCTGTAGCCTTTTCTTCTTTCTCATCTTCTATCTCTTTTTTCTAGCAAAACTAGCAGCAAGTCTCTTGTTCTTTCTCTTGTCACAGCTTGTGTCTGCACTGTGCCCCACTGGTCTTTCAGGCCCTTGAGCACCAAGTCCCAAGTACAATGCTCACTTTTCAAGAAGCCAAAATAAAAAAAGTAATTTCAAGAAGCGAAAAGAGAGAGAGAAAAGAAAAAAAAAAGGTAATTTCAATCTGTATTTCCAAATGCACACAATTCCATATGGTTTCCAAACGTATACTACTAGTAAACTGGGCTTCCTGCACCTCATCTGGCAATTACACTCTTTTCCCTTTCTTTTGATCATCTGTATAGCTTACAGCAATCTGACAGGATATAATTATCTCACTAAGGGGCATCTACAGTATGCAGGATTTGGATTTCCACCCCCCCACCTCGCCCGGAAGGTTTAGAACAAGAGATGTAATTCAGGAACTGGTGCATTTTATTTGTGAAGCAAGATCAATTCTGAGAAACTGATTGCAGTTTCTGGGATATAATGTAGAAATCAGTAACCAGCTGAACTTCCAGATAGCAGAATACAGTTGTTTAAGGTTAACAAAAATTATTATTTTTAACTCTGGTTGCAGATAATTTCTTTGGAAGTTTGAAAGGTAGGAATAAATATTAAGCAAATTTTATAGCATTGAAAAATTTCTCTCCAGGTATGGAAGTCTTACTACATCCCAAACAAAGTATGTACAGTTAAAAAAAAAAAAAATCAAGAGGTGTAAAAGAATCCGGTGATCTAAACCTTTCAGTCTTCTTTTTTGCTATTGTTTTCAATGGCATCATGACTAACACAGTCATGCTTGGAAATATTTAGTTTGCTTTATTTTAAAAACATATTTTTCCCTAATAGATTTGTAACATCTAAGCATCTGGCTACAAATATCTGCATCTGTAATCATCTCCCTTCACACTCCTGGAGGCGTTCAGCTTTGATCGAACCCTTTTGGCTCTTTTTACATTTTTATATGTATATATTTTGTAGTAAGCACAAATGAAGCTCCCTCTTGCAGACATTTACTTGTTCCAGTGACAAACAGTGACTCCCTGGTGATCAGCTCACTCCTCAGCTTCAGCATCTACAGTGAAGCTGCCCTGACTCCCCACACCTGGTGTCTGGCTATGGAAGAGCTGCCGAGCCCTTGTGCACCCAGGTGGCCGCTGCTTGGTCCAAGGTGGCTTCATCCCACGGAGCTGCCTGCTGTTTTGGGGCCTTCGGGCAGGGTCACTGCTTCCACTGGGATGGCTGGAGCAGCAGCCAAGCAGGGCGCACAGGCCACAGGGGTATGATACCTGCCATGGGCCTGCTGGGCAAGGGAGAGGGTGGTGTGCCCAGCTACAGGGCCTAGGGATGGTAACAGATGATGTACACAGGCAGGGTCAGGCCTGCACAAAAATAATGTCATTCTTTTACAGCAAATGCAGCACTGCGGATGTCAGCTGTGAAGCTTATGGAGGGGCTTGCTGGGATGCAATTCCTTGGCTGGACACTTTGGACCGCGGTGATTGCAATTCATACAGAAGAGGTGAAGAAAAGTTGCTAAGGCTGAAGCTGAAGGCATTTCCCTGGTGAAGAGCATTGCCTGGAGGAAGGCAGCACTTTGCAGGGCCCATTTTTCTTCAGAACATCAGCACAGGGGCAGCACCAGGAATACTCCAAAATCCATAGCTCTGGTAAAGTCCAAGACTGATCACTGTTTTTACAAAGGGTGCTTCTGTATTCAGCAGCAGCATAGCAAACAGAGCCAGCTCTTTCTGAATATTGCAAATATAAGGCAAACAGGAAGTGCCAGGCTTGGATCACTCCTGGCTTCTGTGCCCAGAAAAGGAGGGCACCGCTTCGGCTGTAAGACCGAGCACGATGTTTCTCGTTACATGTTTGCACAATGCCAAGGGCACTCATGGGCCCTGGGCACTGCAGGGCAGCTTCTCTTGACTGTCCTGCTGTGATACCACCCCTGGGCTCATAGGCTTTTATTATATGGGCACTATGTTAGTCAATACCATTTGCACCATCCTCTACCTCTCTGATGAGACTTCTAATAATACAGTTCATGAGTGCTGAGTGCAGGGGCTATTTGGCTTTTTCTTTGTTTTGTGTGTGTTTGTGTGTTTTTGTTTTTTGTTTGTTTGTTTAATGACTGTATGCATTTCTAGAAAACTGAGAGCACCAAGCTTTATGCAGAGTTTCAGAGGTTTCTTTTACATAGAGCAACTTTTACACTAGGGTTAATAAAAGCAAAAAGTGGTTCTTTATATTTAACAATGGAAGCCCAAACCTTATTTGTATGTAGACAGAGAAGATCCTTGCACATTGCAATACACAAAAATTGTGGCTATAGTTGGAGGAGGAAAAAGATGATTTGAGCAGGACTTCCATGTGTATATCCCATTACTGGGATCCAAGTGTCCTTAACTACATTTTTTATGAGAGACTGAAGACTGACTGACTTCATGCTGCTGTCAGACTGTATGACTAGTACCTCTGGGGAGTACCATGAAAAGGACATGTGTATCTCACGAGAATATCCAAAAAACCTAGATTTTTAATAAACATACTAATCCATCCTAAGTAGCTCACATTCCAGCTACGGTTCTATTTTTAGGTTATTTGTTGTACTTCAAAAAAAAAAAAAAAAAGGCATGACAGGTTTTGAAGCATTTTTTAAGGAAGGAAAGAATAGCTACCTTCATATGCAAACAGCTGGTGGGGGAGTAAGGAGCTGCCATTGCACAGAGAGCCACCAGCTACTGGAGATGCAGGAAAGGGATGAGGCTGCAGTCAAGTAATCCATACAGTAACACAAGCTAAATGCTCCACAGTGATCTGCAGAGCTAATCGTTATGCTGATCAGTAGTTCTTGGCTCCTGGGAACCTTAATAAAAATCTTTAAAGCAAAGAAAGCCCTCATTACTGTAATAGTTGGTTGGAATAGCTCATGTCAGGAAAGATCTGACCTAACAGTTTATTCCTTAGTCAACATCTGAGATTTTCCTACATGATCATTCTTTCCTATGTATGTCTGCTGGAAAGCCAAAAATAGAAAGAATGTTTCCTTAAAGTGACTTCAGTATCAGTCCCTAGCACAGCACCTAGTACCGGTTAAGTCCTACATATAACTCTTCACTCAATATTTGAACAGCATTCAGTCTCTGCAATGTCCACCTCTGTGCCCAAATTCAGAGCAGAGTATATATAAAACCGCAATAAAGATTTGCAGGGTGCGGAAGAGACTGCATACTTCAATGTTGTCATGAATGAAGCTTATGGAAGTATAATTCTGTCAAAAGAAAAGTCAGCCAAAATGTGCTTTAAAACTAGTCTTCATCCAAAATTATGTTCTCTACTTTTTTTT